CCCTCCCCCCCCCCATAAAAGCGGGCATCTGTAGAAAGCAGGTTTAGTTATCGGAGGGGAACCATTAAACGCCAGTTTAAGAGGCAGGCCGGGAGGACGGCTCGTGGATGTTTAGACTGCTGGCCTTGGTGATCTTGAACGCATTATAACGGAAAATGGATCTCTACTTATAAGGCGTCGGGCCTAGGGCACCCAGGCGCGATGCCAGGGGTGGTCAATGGCAGGACCTGAAACCACCCCCAGGCTTGGCCCTGAGCGTGGAGAGAAGGCTAATGTGTCCAGGAGGAGCTCCCCCCCACCCATGGAGTTCCGTGTGGAAAAGGGTTTCAACAGGAGCCGCTGGCTGTAAATTAGAGGGAGCGGGGGCAGAGTACGCAGAAACTACAGCGGCCTGGCGGTCTGAGATTCTCCACTGGGCCTGTAAGGATAACCCAAGGGGGCTCAATGGCTCCCACCACGAGTATCCCCATTTGGGGCAGCAGAGTCTAGCCCCAAACCAGAAAGGGAGCTCCACCCAAAGAACTCTTGGCGGACAGTCCTTTTCTTGTCCACCGGTTGCTGGCCGCCAGCTACGTGGTTCTCACTGGAAGACAGGGCCAGCGCGAATGGAGGGTGCCCGACCCTGGTGCAACCATGGACTCGGTGCCCCGGGGCCTGCCCGCTACTAACCCGAGTCCTGGACAGCAGCTCTGAGAAATACATAGTTACTTTTTTTTTTTTTTTTTTTTTTTAGGTTTGCCACGACTAGGCAGGAGAAAAGAGGGAACTTAGAGCGACTTAAAAACCCAGGCTGGGAGTTGGTGCAGGACCCATCTCCCACTCCGCGAAGGGTCAGTTTCCCCAGCAGAGAGGCTAGGGCAAAGAACAGGGAAGGGGAAGTGGCTGAAACCGGGCTTGCTGGAAAACCAGAGGCTTACATTCAGGATTTGCGACAAAATCACCGTGGCAGCTGTACACCCCCACTCAGGCAGATCTGCATTTTTGAGCACAAAGACAGTCTCTTTGAATTCTGTTTTTACAAACAGAACAATGCAGGTAATGTGAAAGAGGTTCTGTTTACATGTTTAATGGAAGGAAAGCCCTGAATATGTAAATGCTGGCGGTTCAATTTTTCTGACATTTGATACACTTAAAAAATGTTTATAAAAATCTCCTTAGCTCTTGGAAGCAGGTAGGAAAAAATAAGATGGTTGTATGGGCTGGGAATACATAGAAATGCAAGGGGAGTATTTGGTTGACCACTTTCAGACTCAGAGTTTGGGAGATTGAAGGAAGTAGAGGCCAGAGGAGGGCTGGATTGGAGACAGAAGATGCTCTGTCACCAGAGGCAAGTGGCCTCCGTAGTGAAGGCATCAAAACTTACCATTGCTAGTCTTTCCGTGCTCTTTTAATAGAAATAAAAAATGGATTCGTCGATTCCTTGCCCTGGATAGTATCACAAGGGATAAAAGAAATGGAAACACAGGCAGGAAAAAGCTGTAAGGAACACTAACCTGAAGATCAGTGGCCGCCAACAGCATCATTATCAATCATTTGTCACAACCTAGAGGTCTAAGGGTTTGTGGATCTCAGCAACCCAAACCTAGAGGCCATGGACAGCAGGCATGATCTGAAAGGTGACCTGTAGGTGGGTTAGAGAGAGGGGACAAATGGGTGAACTCTAGTGGTGGCTCAAATGGAGTGACTGACTCTGGGAGGCCGGCTGTTCTTAACTGAACTCTACCTGAACACAAATGCAATCACTTTTTCTTTTCGGTGTCCTTTGGCATGTTTTGCTCCAGGTCTCCTGGATAGTGGGTTAGCCTGCTGCTTTGGAAAACCATGAGACAAAGATGCCATCTTGAGCTCCCCCTCCCCCCAGGGTGGTTATTATGGAGGTTACGGTAGTGGAGTTGATAGAAGAGACACTGGTTTTGGTGGTGAAGGAGAAAGTGGGAGAAGAAAAGAGAAGGGTACAGTCCTTGACTCTACATGTCAGTTTGGGGGTCTCAGCCTTGGGCTGTACTCTGTATCCCCTCCCCCGCCCCCAGCCCCTAGCACGCTGTTTTCTAAAGGGCACAGGTGAGGAGAACTCAAAGGACCTAGAGAACTGCAATACTGCCCTCGGTGCCCATGGGAGGAATAATCTTGGCTGGGGACCTTCTCTACCTCTCCTCCAGGGCCCAGGGCTAAGCCACCCCCAGGCTTGCCCAGGTCAGAGTCTGCTTTGCAAGGAGGCCACCTGATTTGGGGGAGTGCTTGCCATTCTGTGTCTGAAGTCTTGGGTGTAGCTGATGGCGCATCCACTGTGCTGTGATCACATCTGCCTCCAACCAAGCGAACAGACCCTGGCTCACACTTTTATTTCGTACCATGTCTCTTGCCTCCTTCTCTTCACTCTTTTTCTTCCCCTGGAAAAGATTCAAAGAGGTGGGACAGGTTGAGTACTCCCTTGTAAACATTTCGGTCTCATAAGAAATTACTTTTGAAAATCAACTTGATTGAAACTAAGCTAAAAAAAATATCCTTCGATCTTAAGGGAAAATACAGATCTTTTCAAGGTATTTGTTATTTTAAAGGTAAGAGTAGTTCAGATCTGGTGTTTTGCTCATGAGAACTCAAAATAAACAGGACCTGAATAGAACCAGGCCAGGGGGCCATAAACACACATTTAAAAAAAAGACATTTATTTATTTAATTCAATTTGATCTTATTATTTTTTAAATTTGACGAGAGAGAGAGAGAGAGAGAGAGAGAGAGAAAGTGAAAAAGCAAGCTGCAAGGTCTGGGAACTCAACCACAGTCAGCCTTGTGGGAGTTCAGTGCCTTTAACCACCACGCCACCTGCTGGCCCTATAAACACCCATTCTAAACATGTGGGAATTATAGCTCAATTCCCTTCATCATCCTTCAAATCTCATTTTTAACTTCTTTTCCTAACCAATGTAGTAAAAGCGCATCTGAGCATTTCCTTAAGTAGGAATAATGCTCTTATGTCAGGTGAGCCTGTGAATACCCTAAGAACCACAGAAGGTGACAGAAAAAGCACTGTGTTCTTAAAGGTGCACCCTCAACTCTCCCTATTACAAGGACAGGGCTTCCTGCTCCACTCTGGTGCCTCTGCATCCTTTCATTGCTAGGGAGCAACTGAGTCGTTATACCCATTAGCCACTTAGTCCGCAATGGTTAGGACATGCAGAACAATGTTTATATGGCAGCAAGGTCTCTTTTTACCTGGAGTTTTATAGTCCCAGCTTTTCTTGTTTTCCTTTGGGACATACTTGTCTACAGCGGAGACAAGTGACAGTGGGTCCACAAATGAGGTCGTGCTCAAAGCATCATCATGTTCTACTATTTCAAAAATGAAGGGCAGGAAAAGATACTCTTGACTCTTAGAGAATTTTGATTTCTTCTGAGAAACAGGTTTTTTTGGGGGTGTGGGAGTGGGACATTTGGGGAGTGGGCCCTCTTTCTCCTTCCTCTTTTTCTCTCCTCCTTCCTTCCCTCCTTCTCTCCTTCCTTCCTTCTCTTTCTTTCCCACCTCTTCAGTCAAGAGCAGATCTGTGGAGATGGAGTTGGGAGGGGCTGGGTCAGCCGGAAGGGATGTCTGTGGAGAGGTGGATTGTCAATAATCCTTCAGTCCAGTTCTGATTAGGGGATAGTTAAGTCAGTGGAGAAAAGCAGGACTTGCTTGGTCTCCGCACATTAGCCCTCTACCCTCTCCCTCCTCCCCTCCCTCTTTCTTTTCCCACTTCGTTCCTTCTTCTCTCCTTCCCTCCCTTGTAATTTGCTCTTCCACAATATTTGGCTTTACAAGGTTTTTGCTGTCACCAAACCCGAGACAGGCATGAAAGAACGAGATACTGGTTCATCCTTAAGGCTTTTGGGAAAAAAATTAATATCTAACATGATAGGCAGTAGAATTTCCATTTTATCCAAATTATCAAGGAGCCTCACATTAACTGTTAGATAGGTCGTTGTTGCTCTGGAGGGTTTTCATTGATAAGAGAGAACTAAATTGCCAGGTATCCAGTTCTGTCTGTTAAGCTAAAATGCTTATCCAGAGAAAAGCCAACATACGATAGATAATTCTGTAGAAAGGCCTCACAGATGTCTATATATAAGAAATGTTATTATGCTTGCCTTAAGAGGTGCGGTAAATCTGATCTTTGCTATTCTATAGTAAAATATAGAGTCGAAGGCAAAAGTGGCATCAAAAATACACCCCACGGGATGTATGTTAAATAGTCCACTGCGCGATTGTCGAGCAAATTACATAGACTAGCAATATTTTCTTTCAAGCTGAGAGGAGGACATGATCCAACATTGAAATGAGGGGTGTTATTTTTGCATGCAGGTTCGATGGAAATAGCAAATAATGGGCTTTAGCTAGCCTGCAATGCAGCCTGGGGTTCAGAATGAAGTACTCACGCACATGGAAAATTAAAAGGTGAGATTTTGGAGAAACCATTTATGCGATTGAAAGATTTGCTGTGAATTGAGGCCCGGGAGCATTCCCAGTTCCAACTGCTGTGCAGCTCACATTCCTGGGAAGTCTTGTTCTGTAGCTTCCCTTGCAAAGGAATGGATTTCTTTAGCTCTGACAGTTTCTTCTAAAACTTCCCTTCTTTCTTCTCAGGCCTTTGCTTATAGACAAGGGACTTGAGCCAGGATGGTTAGGTTTCAGGTTAACAAAAAGAAACACTTTTATTGTCAATATTAATGGCAAACCTCGATTTTTACAAGGCTGGGGTTTAGCAGCATGAGTAGATCAAAAGCAGCTTGGCTTGATTTCTCAATATTCTCTGGAGCTTAGACAATTAACTGCAATTTTGCTCCTAAGGAAACATCACGAAAAAGTTGGTTATGAGAATGTGAAAGTTAGTCTTTCGGCAGAGATTTTTTTTTGC